TATAGTTCAAGATTTTATTTTACCTTAGGCCTCCCTTATAGTCACCAATGTGTGTTTGCAGTTTAAGTACTTCCTTCTCATTCTCCTTACACCATGCCTTTTCTCGTAATCCATCGAAGCATATCGAAGTCTTTTGAAATTTCATTCTATTTGGCCTTGTTTTTCGCTAAGATAACTAGAATTGCTACATATGTTGCCACAGCATTTTTAACACATACACTTCATCTATTCTATTGCATTCTTTTTAATAAAACTCAAGTAGAATACATTTGTTTTCCTTATTCTTTTCCAGAAAAGAAAAAGTATATCAAATCTTCCTCCAGAGGCACATTTAAATAATTCTTTTCTTATGGGAACTTTTTGATGCCCCCCCCCCCACTCTTGTGACTTGATCAATCAGCTGTCTTTGACAAAAGCAACGTTCACTATTAAAATTTTTACTGTAAACTCTTTTTTTTTTCACATAGAACCACCTTTCTACTGGCCAGTGGCCATGGGATAACAAAATAAGTTTCTGAACAATTACCGACATCACAGAAAATTATTTTTTAGTGTGGGAAGCTAAGTAAAGAGAAATGATCAACCCTGCTATCAAAAGAGGTGAAAAATCTCTGTTCCATTAGCTGGATGTGATCATTTACTCAATATATTTTTATACTTAGTCGCACAAACTTGTTTTGTTTCACTCATCACTCTGAGAATCTGGGCAGTTTATCTTTTCTGATCAACTTGACATTTACAGACACACCAGGAGACTTTGGACCACTCAGGACCAATTTCACATTAGTGGGTAAATTGATAGAAGATTTTTATAATTATCTTCGTTAAAGTTCAAACAAACGGCATTGATCTCTAATCTAATATTGAAATATTTTTTTCAGTCTGACACACGATTTGTTCAGAAAAAGCGTGGAGACAGGAAATCCAACCATTCTTTCCTGGTGTCCGTGTGAAGGGACTGAGACAAATTTAACGTGTTCAATATCCCTAAGATTTTTCTGTGAACCTATATGTCAATCTTCTCCCAGTTTCGCCCATATAACTAGAATGACATCTACGGCACACAACGCCATATATGGGGGACAGTTTTGGTCGCAGATTTTAAATCTGGTTTAATAAGACTCGACATGAGAGACTAAACTAAGCTTCCAACATCTGTTGATAAAAATGATGTATTTTATGCTTGTCAACTTATGGGTCATTTTGAAAATATTGTAGAGGACGTATATACTGGCCCTCTCCATGAATTTTATAAAGGATACATTAATAACGGCATGGTGACTAATGAACTTTGGAAAAAAAAGTATAGATTTCTTAAACTCATTCCATGCATCCATAAAATGTACTTCCCAAAACTCAGGATATTCTGTCAACTCTCTTTATATCATGATAACATTGAGAGAAAACGGATTGATCCAATCTGCCTATTAAAAACTCACAGACAATCATAGTTACCTACTGTACTTATTTTCCCACCCCAAAGCATGCAAAGAATGTATAACTTTCTCGAAACTTCTCAGACCACGGCCCCTCTGCCAGCTTGATGAAGACTTTTTTAGAAAAGGCTGATGAAATGATGGATTTCTTCCGCTCCAAATCTTATCCTGAAACTACTCTTGTCTCGGCACTCAGTCGTATCCGCAGTATCACTCGGAAAGATGCTTTTAAACCAAAACGAAAATGAAGTTCGAACTACACTCAGACTAACCTATTACCCTTTCAATTTGCCAGCCAAAAAAATATTCACAAAAAATATTAACTTACTTTTTGCTGAGTTTGACAAAATTATGGGTTTTCGTTCCCTCAGCATGTCTTCAGACAAGAAAAAAATCTAGATGATCTTCTGGTTCCCAGTCGCCTTTGCGGTGACCCGTCTTATTATTGAACTATACCGTGCTCAAGAAACCAATGTAGGACTTGTCCCTATGGACAGGCCCGCCGAGAAGGGGGGCAGGGGGGCCAATGCCCAGGGGCCCGGCGAGTTTTATGGGCCCGGCCCGGGCCCGCAATCAACTTTTGAAAATATTATGATCAGCTATAAAAAATGTATTACTTATGCTTTTGTAAATATAACTTAACTAAACTTAATTACAATCAGATTAAACTTCAAGCATCTAAATATTGCCGTACTTATTGACCATTTTATCATTTTTATGCAATTCCGTCAATCCGTCGTCTTAGTACTTTCTTCTGCTGAAATAAACATCAATTTTTGATTACGAGTTACACGTGACACGACCAGAGAGACCGCGCTTGGTAAATTCGGCCCCTGCCGGTCTCTATTTTGAACACGCCCACACGATCTGTCAATTTTTTTTTAAATTCTCATAAAGCCTAAAGATAGTTTAGAGGATCAGACCTCGGGGGACCCGTGAGAGCCCTGCCTAGGGGCCAGAAATTTATGTCGACGGGCCTGCCTATGGACACCAAATAAAAAAACATTAGCCTCTCTAAAGTTACCGTTACCATCAAAGAGGGTTGTACATGCCTTTATCGTAATGTGATATATGCGACTGTGTGCAGTAGATGTCATTCTATTTATTTAGGCGAAACTGGGAGAAGATTAGCAGATAGGTTTACTGAACATCTTCGTTATATTGAACAACACAAACTTTCGCCAGTCTCTTAACACTTCAACAAAGAACAACATAAATATGCATTAAATGTATCCATCACAGCACTAATTATTTGCAAAAACACACCAGGGAGAGTTAAAATAAAAATAAAAATTATTAAGCTTTTCAGCAACATATCTCCACATGTTATGAATCAAATACTTTCTCACTAGTGTTTCTCGATTTCCCAGTAGGTCATCATTTTTTTTTTTATAATTGCTTAGATTTTATTGATCCCTACAAATTTTAGTCCGTCAAGATTATCTGCCTTATTTTTCACAGTACCAATAATTATATTCGTTCACTTCCTTTAATCCCATTCCGGCAACAACTAAGGAGATCTCCAAAGTTATTAACTATGATCTCTTTCTTCTATTTGTCTTGTTTGCTGAAGAAGATTCTAAGCCGAAACGTACTAACCATAATTTCCTTAAAAAGAAACTTAAAAAACCTTATTCTACTTTTTCATTGATAAAAATGGTAGCATATTGTTGTTTTTTACGTCAATTGAAATAGTTGTAATTCTCGAGCTACCGTAGGTGTTTACTTAGACAGAACATTAACTATGGAAAATCACATTAACATACTTTGCCAGGCAATTTTTCTAGAGCTGCGCAGAATTAGTCATATCAGACTTTTCTTAAAGTTTGATGCTACAAAGAGGATGGTGTCTGCATTCATGCTGGCATGCATGGACTACTTCAATGCTCTTATGGTGGGTCTTTTAGCTACGCTCCTGAATAAAATTCAAAAAGCACAAAATAATTCGGCTCGCATTGTTCTTCTTAAACGCAAATTCGACCATGCTAAAACACTTCTGAGGGAGCTGCACTGGCTGCCGGTCCGCGCTCGCATTGAGTACAAAATTGCAACTCTTTACTACCGCTGCTTGCATGACCTGGCAACGTCCTATCTCAAAGCGCTTATGACGACTAATGTACTCACAAGACAATTCTGCTCATCCGATAGTGGAAAACTCTCGATACCACGTGTTCGCCTTAAGACTTATGGAAGGCACAATTTCGTATTTGCTAGCCCAATAATTTGGTGTAAACAACATCTCCCTGAGTTTCACAGCTTAAATGGGTCAGAACATTCAGTTTCGTTTTTTAACATGTGAAAAAAGTCCCAGTAGATTACTTTTTAAAAAAACAGTGTATAAAAGGTATGTGATAATCGGACTGAATTTATCCAACTGCTTTCAAAAGTGTCATGTCCAACATAATGAGATCCGCTGAAAATGATTTTTTTTTTATTTACATGGCATAGGGGAACATAAATGTACATTTGCTTTTCTAGCGTCTGTTTGTTCATTCTTTCATCAAACATAAGAACATACGTAGAATCTGCTCTTTTTTTAATGCATATTAGCGAAGCAAGGTGCTATACCAAAGATGCTGAGACATGTATATTTTCTATCAGCACATGCCAAGAGTCAGTTCTTTGGTTTTTACTATTGTTACGCACTGGTTTCTATTGTGAGAACTTAATCTCTTATTTTAATTGTATGGCTCGTTCAAAACAGTGCACAACAAAAGGACGACACCATAGAGATATACAATAATAAAGATACGACACCCAAAACAGTACTAATTACAATTAATAAAATTTATTTAAGTATTGATATAATTATAAGACAAAATAAATATAATTAAAATCATCAACTTACAGAGTATGGTAGATCTTGTACGGTACGCAGATGGTACAATGTGCCAATTAAAAATGTACAATGACGAAGGCAAAATAAGCACATATGAGCACATAAAGAAATAATACACGTCTCGTAAAGTTAAAAATATCTATCAATCTCCGTCCCTCTCTGTGCCTGTCAATTCTTTATATATGTGGGTCTACCGACGCGTTTAGAAACGCCCTTACTTTTCTAATACAAACGAGAACGTTCCATAAGCTACTAGTAGGCATACTAACCATGTTTAATTGGTAGTTTGGTAGTAAACACGATACTTCAAAGACTAAGCCACGCCCACAACAAACGCTATCGTCTGCTAGGGATCTAATTTGGGGTAAAACAACGTTCAAGCACGGGAAAAAAGTGTACTACATAACAACAATGTTCTCTTTTACTCGTGACGACTTCTTTTGCGGCATATGACCATAAACCATCATTCGTGATTTTCTAATCTACCTAATAGTTAATACATAAATTAAGTTTACAAATTAAACTATTTAATGACCGTGTGGGTACAATGGGATATATTATTTGTTTCATTATGAAGAAAATATAATGTTCAGGGTGTAATTTTTAAAATTAAAATAAATAATATAAAGTATATTTTCTTTATAGAGAAATGCTCCAGCTAAGTCTATAATATAGACCTATACAATATTATTTTTATGTCTTTTTTTAAGAATGAAGATTTAGCTATGGTAGTAGCCCAGCGTTATTACATAGAACATCCGAATGATAAAGATGAACAGCGAATACAAGCTCTGCTCACCGACTATATTCCTGATTCGTATCTACAGAAGGAAGAGGATATCATTGTATGGATGAAGACCATCATAAGCAAATTAAAAAGTCCATATTTTCAGGAAGCTAGGATGGATCCACTTAAGGTAATGCTGGGCCGGATTTCCAAAAAGGCAAACGTAGGCCATGGGCTAAGGCTCAGTTTGGGGGGGGGGGGGTTGTCTTCTTCTTCTATATATAAAGGGCCGACGATCAATTTATTTATCATTTTGGCTCCAATGCATGTAGAGGGGATTTGTCTATTTTTCTGTGTGAACATATCAATAAAATTAAATATCACCCATTTTTCGTACGTGGCTGACAAAATCTACGGGCGGCTTATTGACGCACTTCCTGTAAACATACTGAACTTAAACTTAAAATATGCGCTTCTGACATGTTATAAGCGATGTTCTGGTAGTGTTTCGTTTCTGCATCAATGTACTGGCATCTTTGCAGCGGTTGGGGGTATGATATTGCTATTCTAACAGCTCCTGGCAGATGCCAGGGCAGCCTTGAAGCTTGCGATAGATGTCAAATGCAACACAGTGGCATAGTCCAGGTTGTTCCATGCTGTTATTGTTCGTGGAAATTGTTGATACTTCCCTGTGTTGCACTGAGGCACTTTGAAACATTTGCTATTGTTTCGGGTGTAATTGTTTATGGGAATGCCAGTTGTGAAATCAGTGTTCAGTGAGCGTTTTGCTCTGATCAGTCTATAAAATTGTTTGGGACACAATTTATTGTAGGTTTGTTGGATTATAGGCCAATTATTGCTTATGTATGTTTGAATGCCCTTTGCATTTTTGTTCAGACGTGCAATAGTTAATTTTGTTTTAGTTAAACATAAGAGGCGTTTTTGTTACTATTGAACGGGGGAAAATTTTTAAATATATTATTATTCTATGTATTTTTTAAATATTTTTTTATGTCCAGGTGAAGAGAGACATTGTAAGCTATGCCAAGCACAAGTGGCCATTACTGTTTTCAAGATATTATGAAGTTTGCAAGCACTCTGGACCAACACTGCCGAAAAATGATGTCATCATCGCTGTCAACTGGACGGGAGTCTACGTTGTTGACGAGCAGGAACAAGTGTTATTAGAGCTACCTTTCACTGATATTAAAACTGTCTCTAGTAACCGGTAAAGTCCCTTTGTTTTACTAAACATTATTAATTAACTCGGTTTTTTTTTCGGTTTTATTTTTTGTTGTTTGTGTGTGTGTGTGGGGGGGGGAGGGGTTCTTTTTAAAAAAAAATATAAATATTTAAAGAAATAAAATATTTCTTGCTTTTATATTTTTTTTTATATAAACCGTTCATCAAAACACTCATCATTAGCGTATGTATTAAAACAATAATGCGTATTTCAATCCTTAAGAAATTGCAAGATGGATTTTGAAAGGTTCAATCTAGACACCGTGAAAGGAGAGTACACATTCACAACTCCATGCAACGCTGACGATATCAGGGACCTGGTTGTCACTATGTTTGAAGGGCTCAAAAAGGGGCCTACACATTGTATCCCAGACAACCTGTCAACAGGTGCGATACTCGGGTTCTTTTTAATCATTTTTCAAGTACATCCATAAGGCTGCAAGCGGTATCTAAATACACCCTTATAGTTACACTTGGAAATAATTTTATTTTAGAAGCACAAGAGTGACAATTTACACGCAAATATGTATACACACACACACACACACACACACACATATATATATATATATATAACTTCTCCTGTCCTTGTCACTATTAGGGTATATTTAAATCAAAGAGAAAAAACACGCATGCACACAATTTTCCTAGAGTTGTAAAAACTATTGAATGTCGATTGATATTATATAATACATGTGGACTATTTTGTGTATGTGTATACAAACAAAATGTAAATCTTATCAAATGTATTTCGTTTTCTTTATTTACAGATTCGTATTGCTAATTCAAGCCCTTATATCAAGACTGACATAGCAATTAAATCATTGTACGTTTTTATAGTTTAGTTTAAAAACTAAAAGTGAAATAATTTTAACAGCATATTTTAAACAAAATCTACAAATGGAACAAATTTAAATTATTTATTGTAATATTTAATTATTTATTTTTACAATTTAATATGTTGAAAGAAATGTAATAACTCTCGATTAACGTAAAAAAGTGTAATTCAAATATTATTTATATGCTAAAACATATTAAAATTAATTTTATAATATAATGTATAATATGAAAGTAATATTTATTTAATTCATTTTTATAGAAAAAAAATGCCCACTATTGAAATCATTTTTTTTTTATTAAATTAATTACATTACAAAAAAAGTTTATTTTATGTAATTTTTAAAAATTACAATTCTTTCTAAAAGAATGGGCATGATTTGTTCAAATGACACCGAAATCAAAAGGAGGATATTTTAAAACGGGTTGTATTTAATAAACGGCCCGCGGGCCAGATCCTTTATGACAAGTGATCCTTAACCCGTCACTCATGACCTACGTGAGAGATCACGGGGAGCACTGACGAATATCAAATTAGACAGTATTCACCACATTAATCAAGAACAGGCCGATACTTGCCACTGAACTATTTAAAAGTTTATGTTGAGTAAAATTGTATTTTATTTTTTTAAAATTGCAACGTTTCTTTTTGTGTGCGCTTTTTGTTTGTTTGTTTTGTTTTTTTTTTGCTTCTGCATAAGTGAGATCTGTGCAGTGTGCATATGAATTCGTTCAGACTTTTTTCAAAATATAGTTTGGCCCCCAAGAGTGTCTGAGGGACAGTAAAACCTCCTTATTTTTTTTTTTTAAATCTTAATTTGCATATGTAAACTTGAGAATAAAGGACGTATTTAAATAAATTGTATTTGAAAGTTTGGAAATAAAGGAAAATTACTATATGATATTAGAAAATTAAAAATATTGTTGTTTTTTTTATTTTGTATCAAAGGTTGAAGGACACATAATATTATATCATACTATGGAAAAAAATAATTGGCAAATTGTGTATTTCCTTTGTATGCTCAGAAAAAGCATTATTTTTTTTACATATAAAGTAAGAAGTTAAATGATTTTATCAGTAGAACTAATGGAAAGGTAAATAAAGCTTAACTTAACTTGCATCAATTATTTTATTTAGATGTTTCTGTAGTGTTTATATAATTTAAAACAATTCATATCATGGAACCATGTAATATATCAGTTATTATAACAATGGAACTGAAGATTTTGTACCAAAAATATATTTATCGGCTGACCGTAAAACGCCAAAGAAACGAAAATATTTAAATACGTTCGGATTCTGAAAAACAATCATAACTAGTTTCTATTATTTGACGGAAAGTAAATAAATACAAATGCGCAAAAAATATTTCTTATCCGCTTTTATTTTATCAAATGTCTTAGTATTATTATTTTAGATTACAAATACATTTAAAGTAACAAATAAGGAACAATGTTCCCTCTTTGTTTGATGGTTCGTGCTCAAAATCGCACAGTTGTGTGCAAACTTTTACATCATCAATTTTTGTGTGCACAATTTTACAAACAACAAACACACACACACACGGAAATTACATATATGAACTTAAGTGCAAAAACGTTCATTTATATTGTTATTTATAACGTTTTACACCATTTTCCCGTGCGTGAAATTTGCTTGACCTTAAATTAGATTCCTAAGCAGACGCTCGGTTCATAGATGGGCGGGGCTAGTTCTTTTGATCTGTCATATTTACCAATTTAACATGGCTAGACTGTCTCCTAGTATCTTGTCAAATGATCTCGATTTGTTCTAGAAATGTAAACAAATGCTGAGTAGCTTCTTGAAGGCAGGGCTTACGCGTCGGTAGACCCACCTATATAAGAGACTGACAGACATGGAGATTCAGACGGAGATTGATAGATATTTTTAACTTCACGAGACGTGTATTATTCTGTGTGTACTTATATGTGTTTATTCGCATTGATCATTCATCATTATTCATTGGCACATTGTACTGTGTTAACTGTGTACCGGTACAAGATCTACCATACTGTAAGTTGATGATTTGTAATGATATGTATTTTGTTTTGTAATTGTATTATTACTAAATTAAATATTATTAATTGTAATTGGTACTGTTTTGGGTATCGTATTTTTTTGTTATTGTATTTATCTATGGTGTCATCCTTTGTTAGACACTGTTTGAACGAGTCATAACTTAAAACAAGAGATTAATTTCTCAAAAGAGAAGCCAGTGCGTAGCAAAATGAATAAATAAATTATAATTGTATAATCTATTTGATTCAGAATTTTTAATGTCACAAATAATTCAAACAAAGCTATATTTGTTTCTATTATTTATCGCGTCGTTTCAAGCAATTAAATTCCAACACACCCACTATAAAAGGCCGCTAAATCTTTACGATAAGCAACGCAATATTGTTCCAGTAGATGGTGAAATACGTTAGTGAAGAATAGCTGCAACTCCATTGTTCTTGCCTAGTATAACCGATACACATTTCTACAAGTCAAATGAATTCCTTTTTTACATTACCGGGATATGGACAAAACTTTGCGTATGAGGTCAACATTTTTGTCAGTGATAGATTAATACTCTCATCTACTGTTATTGTTTTGAATTTTTGCAAAGTTCGCAAATTATAGTACCTTCACTAGCGAATCGATATAGTCAACAAACTCAAAAGTGTAATTCTCACTGCACAAGCTATCACGGACTGGGGCATATTTAAAGATATATTTGTGTATGTATTGAACCGCATTTATAGATGTGTTCATGTTGATAGCAAATCATTTGTTAATCAAAATTTTTTCCAGATCTTCTTTAGCACTTTTACATTGTGCTGCTTCTTGTCTCATGCTTCGATCAGTGACACTTTCTGTAAGCATTTGCAGTACACCTCCTGACTGTAAAGAACGAAGTCTTTGTACAGAATCTGTGTCTGTTTTAAGCTTGATAAGTCGTTTAAGATGATTCAGTTTCCAGGCCTCCCAACTTTTCCTTATGGAGAAATATCAACTCGCATTTGCTTTGAAGCGCATTTCACAGACAACATCATAATCAATTTGACGACATTTAAAACTATCGCCCAGCTTGACAGTAAACTCTGACTAATCTGGTAGCGCTGCAAGCACACATTTATTGAGCCATTCCGTTTTAAAATTTGATCATCGCTAATCGCTCGCTTAACTGACGTTTAGAAATAATGGTTAAAAAATTATTAATAATAATTAGCTACAACATTTATAATAAACTAGAGATATGTCATTTATTAACTTTATAATCTAAAACATTTATAATAAACTAGTGATATGTTATTTATTTAATGTATACACATACCCTGCGCAGTATGCGCCAAGACATCTACAATAATGGTGGGTGGTGGTTCAGAACAAGGCTAGCTTGATCCGGTATATATCGGTATGTATCGGGATGTATGCAAATCAATAGTTCAAATTAAAAATTTGAAGAAAAAATATAGATCTGAATCAAATTAAAAACATGGATGTTTTTAAAACTGTAGAGTTTCGGCTGCAGAGTGAAGCGTATCTGTTGGAATTTATTTTTTTTATTAAATTTGATGCTCGGCGTCTTTGAGATAGCTGTGCGGCCGCACAGCCATGCAGCTAAATGGAATATTTCTAAGGAACTATTTTAAGAATCTTATCCCATTAAAAGTTATAAAAAAATTATTTAAAAAAAATATAATCAAAGAATAACATCGCAATCACATTTATCGGGGAAACACAAAGGAGTGTTGTTTTAGTGCGTCTTTTGGACGCGTTGAAATATTGCGAAATAAATGTAAAATTAATTTGTTCTAAATAAATACGAAAATGACGTCATAGCGAGACTTGCCTATTTTAGACAAAGTCATAAGTTCTTTGATTTAATAAATGCTCTTGAAAAAAACTGATAATTTATTTCCCCCTTTTTTAAAAGTAAAATTAATAAATATAATTGATTGCTTTTTAATTTTTTAATAAAGCAGACAGAAAATGTTAGTTTTGTATTTTTAACTTTTAATAAGTTTTTACTTGTACATTTTTTTTATTCCAAAAAATACTTTTCTTAAATTTATAACGAATTAAAAACTTAACCTTAAAATATACTTTTAACAAGAAAATGTCGTTTAAGTTAATCAGTGCAGCGCAACGCCATAGCCAAATAGCATTCACTAATGAACTTATAACTTATTCAAATCAGAACAAACCAAATGAGGCGCACAAAATGCATGAAAGCATACGGAAGGGTCTTCAATCCCGTGGAAGATTGTATTAATTTATATTAAGATCTGGGGGAGGGGGGTTGTCGATACTTTCATTTTGCCCCAGGCCGCACAAGATACGTGTAACAGCTCAAATATTAAAATAATAAATTGTTTCGAATGATGTATAGTTTTGTGACAGGAAGTGAGATATTTTTTGAGTAAGGAAGGCACTTACCTTGATTAA